AGTAAATGAGGACTTGGGGGTCAGTGTTGTGCAAAGTGGCCCATCTGCCTTTGACGTGCAATATCATCCTTGGACTACTTTATGGTCAAATTCTGTGTCATGTCTGTGTTTTCAAATCTTGTTTGCTTCTCTTCAAAACGTGGCACACAGGCGCTAGAATGAAGAAGTGGCAAGGAGATGCCGTGGTATGCTGCAAGCAGTGCTTTTTCCTGGTTCCAATCGATATGTTATATTTGCTCCACATGGGTGGTATTCATTGTAGTCTGAAGAATTTGCGTGTGGGGGTGATCGCTTTCTGAGCTGACGACGGTGATGGCGATGGCGACCCTGATCGGACAGTAGCAATTGGGACACTCGAAGTCGAACTTGTGAACGTGACTTAGACGATTAGATAAATCGCGCGCGCGCGTCGCTTTCAACACGGAATCTTCCTGGTCGTCGTTAAGAGTTCGAGTTATGGTTGAAACAATGCGCTCGTGAGTGCGTTCTCGTTTTTTTTCCGTGGACGTCGGCACGACCTCGATGTGCGGACGTGTCCTCCATCTGCAACGACCACCATCACTGTCGCCACCCGAAAACTGTCTCTCGTTCCTTGCGTAAACGTTTCAGCACACGCACGACAGCAGTCATTCATCATAGGAGATGGCGAAAAAACCATCACAATTCTTGGGTTTTTCGTGTGACGTTCCAGCACCTCGATAGGCATGGAAATCGAACGAAAATGTGTGTGGTGAATGGAGACGCTACTCATCTCGGCTTGTCATAGGTCTACAGAGGGGAAGTTCATTCTGGAAAGTACTTGCACTTATGCGAGATACTTCAGCCAAAATTTAGTTCTGGGCGCTATTCTTATATGGTGGGGCATTTAAATGTAGATTTTCGCACAAAGGAATTGATCTCACCCTTGAGATCGTTTTTCCAAGGCTCGGAGAAAACCCTGCGATTGTGCATGGTGGGTGGTGCGTTCAATCACGAGCCCATAGTCACTAAATGGCTCACCACAGAAGAAAACAAAGGAAAAAAATCTGGAGAACACCGTAAGGCCCTCTGGCATCCTCACTGAACGAGTTGTCCGGATCTGCTCGTTTTATGCCAGCAAAGCGATATCCTGCTGCCTCTGGTTCACTGATCGTTCCTTCGCGTCACTGAATACTAGTTCCATCTAACAGTATAGCAAAGCGAAAAAAATGGTGTAA